GTGTGTGTGTGTGTGTGTCAGCCTGTAGTATTTACGTGTCAATGAGTCTAACGTGCCTGCCAGCTCATGTGTAATATTTAGGTTTGTCTGGGTTGTTGGTTTCTTTCTTCTCCTCCTTGGGCCTACGTGAACAACAAGAAGCTCTCTGAAAAAGAAATAAAAAAGGGAAATAAAAGTGATAAAAGAAGAAGAAAAAAACACGTCTCACATGATCTCAACCGTCTTCCCGTTTTGTACGAAGCCCCCCAAAAGAGAAAAAACTAAAACATGACGAGAACATTTTTAAAAAACATTTGCCTTGCGGTTCTCGTAACCGTCTTCCCGTTTCCTGTCCCTGTCCCTGGCTGGCTGTCTGGCTTCGTAATGCCCGGCCGATGCTGCAGCCAATCGGATTCATTTGACTTGAGCCAGGACCAGCTAGATTTTTCCTTCATGAACGGGGTAAAAAAAAAAAAAAATCCAAAAACTATCATTTTAGCACAGTACAACCAAACTCGGGTTTTCAAGGTCGGGATCAGTTGATGAATGCAAAAGCTGCCTGTTTGGCACAATATGACCGAATTCGGGTTTTCATGGTCGCGATCAGTTGAAATCAAAAACTGCCAATTTCTCTCAATGTGACCGAATTCGAGGTTTCAAGGTCGCGATCAGTTGAATGCAAAAGCTGACAATTTGGCACAGTGCGGGCGAATTTGGGTTTTTGAGGTTGCGAGTTAAATGCATAAGCTGCCAATTTGACACAATACGACAGATCTCAAGTTAAGTCGAATGCGACCTTCTAAATTGGACACGTTTGTTTTTCAAGGTCGCGAGTCGAATCGGTCGTAATGTGCCAAAGTGGTGGTAGCTTTTATCACCCCATGAAGGAAAAATCTAACTGGTCCAGACTCGGTGAAATGAATCCGATAGGTGTTGTGCGCCGGGTACAACGGCATAATCTGCACTGTGGTGTAGCAGCATGGCGCTTCGCTGCCGTGGGCAGGAGGAGACCCGAGTTCGATTCCGAGTGAGAGGAAAATAACGTGTATTTTATCAAGTACCTCCGTCTTTCTGTCGGGATGTTTTATTTATATCTCTCAGCCCGGGTTGACCCTGACAGCAGGGTTGGAAGTGCGCCTCCTGACTGAATGACCGGAATTGTGTCGATGAAGTAAAAACACCTGCTTTAAAAAAAGCTAAACCGAATAAAAAACTTGGTTTAAGATTAAGAAGCGCCGTGCGTATGTTGTTTCTCCCC